AAGCGGGGCCACGCTGGGCTGCAGCAGGGAGGGACTCGCAGGAGATTAAAGGCAGAGTGCAGGACACGCTGGAGCAAGCCCCGTGCTAAATAATTCCTGCTTCCCTTCCCTTTCCTCGTTTTCCAGCGTGGCTTTGCCCAGCCTTTCCCAGCTTGGCTGGCATTAGATCTCAGGGCTCGGTCTGCCTTTCCCTCACCTCCATGCAGCCGATGAGATCCAGAGGTGCTGAGCCTCCCCAGCAGAAATAAAAAAATGGGGTTTTGAGCCCCTACATGGAAAAAAGAAAACCAGAAAAAAAAAAGCACAAATAGCAGAGGGATTAAAAAAAAAAAATCCCCTAAAAATCCAAGCTCAGCAAACATGTGGCTGCTACCAGCCCAGCCCAGCGGTTTGGGACGGGAACGGGCTCCGGAGGAGGAGGAGGGGACGGCAGCTCTTCCCCTCCGAGGAGCAGGTCTGGGGCTGCCAGCCCAGCGCATTCCTGCGCCGTGAGTCAGGCCTCCGAAAAACCAGGAGGCTTCAAAAATAATACTCTGTGCAGCCTTTGGGATGCTTTGCTTGCCTTCTGAATCCCCAGCCTCCCCCGTTTTAGCACTTTGCTCCCCAATGGGACTAAAACTGATTTATCCCAAAACCCAGCTGGGACCCTCAAGAACAACATCACTCTCTGTGCAGGGAGCCCCAGCGTGAAGCTAAAAGGAAACCCACACTCCAGAGCTGCCTCAACAGTAAAAATCCAAGCGTCAGCCAAGCCTGCAGGGCTGCAGGGACAGGGAGGATTTAGGGAGTGTTAGGGAGGGTGCTGCATCCAGCGAGGGGCCTCCAGGCTCCCACCAAGAGAGGTCCCTGGGAGGGTGGGTGTGAAGCCAGAGCAGCTCTATGGGGCTTTCTGCCTCTCCCAAGCCAAAGCTCTGCAATTCCCAGCCCTAGTGCAGGTCATACAGGATTTTTTCCAATGCTCCAGCCTAACGTGAGGAGACACATCACTCAAAAGCTACTCGTTCACCAATCTTGGGACACCATGAAGGCTCTGATTTGCTTGGGTGGTTTGGTTTTTGGGTTTTTTTTGGGAGAGGGGAGAACAACACAGTTCACACAACGTTACCTTAAGGTTCTGAGCTCTGTCAGTCCCAGGGAAGGACTGGCCAAGGTCCCTTCAGCCCAGGATGCGCAGCAGGAATCACAAAATTCTTTGGGTTGGAAGGGACCCTAAAGTTCATCTAGTTCCAGCCCCCTTGCCACAGGCAAGGACACCTCTCACTAAACTGGACTGCCCAGGACTTTATCCAACCTGGCCCTGAACACTTCCAGGGATGGAAGCTCCAGGAGAAACAAGTCTCCATGTCACCAGACACAGGTCCCCTCACAGACCCCAGCATCCCATGGGCCAGGGCTGTGTCAGCTTGGTGCCACCGTGCTGTGACTCACAGGCAGGGGTGTCTTGCACAATACAACTGATTACAGCAAATTACAGCTTTGCATATTTTGGAAAACCAAACCTGGAGCCACGGAGGAGCAATGCCACAGAGGGGCCGATGGCAGCCAGTGAGCAGCTCAGGCATCCCCCACAGCCCTGATAATCCCCCTTTCCCGCAGTGAGATGCACGAGTGGGATGGCAGGAGGGGGCAGAGGGGATGGGCTGATGATTTATTTCCCCCCCTCTCTCCTGCTCCAGCGAATGTTTTCACTCGCATTAGCATCGCTAAAGCCGGGAGGATATAAGTGAATAGGAAACAGCAGGAACCTGTGGCTTTATGGCACCAACATCTGCTGTAATGAACTCCTCACAGACTCCATACAGCCCCTTCCACCCTCACCTCCCAGCCTTCCTGCTGCCTTCCTGGCACCCGCCTGCCAGCCTGGCTTGGCCCAGCAAAACCCAGCTCAGGACTCTCCCAATAACCTACGAGGCTGGCAGGATGATCCTCCGGCCCCAAACACACTGGGAGGGAGAGAGCTGTAGGGCTGAGGATTTAAAAGTGCTGCCACTGCTAGAAATGGAAGGAAAACCAAGCTACTTGCAGCATCTTGGCTCGCTTAACTGACCCAAAATACAGATCTGTTTTTTAGATATTTTTATATATATTATTCCTGTACAGCTAGGACAGGGATGGAAAGGGAACCAGCATGCACAGCATCAAAGGGACCCATGGGATACACAAAGCAGGGAGATAAAGGACACAGATGGACTCTCCAAGCTCCTTACAGGGTCAGCAGCCGTGTGCTTGTGCTTTCTAAACAGAGAAAATGCAAGCTGGATTTCTCCTCTACCCCCCCAACTACCTACTTCCAAGAGATTCTGCCCTCTTTAAATCTCTCCTTTTTTTGTTGCTGTTGTTTCGGTATTTCACCCTGCTGCTATCATACACAGAGAGCACCCACTTCTAGGAGAGAGAGGGCTCCATAACCAACCAGCTACAGGAGAAGGAGACAAAACAAAAAACCAGAGCAGATCCTTCCATATACTACTGTCCTTAAGCCTCCACTTCCAAAGGGCAGGACTGGATGAGCAACAGGTCTTGGAGCAGCTCTGCCCTGGCCATCTGCTCCCGACGGCAGCAGCAGGCAGGCAGCCTCCTGCCACCACTGTCCTTGCAGCTCACAGTGAGCTGATATCCCTTCCTCCCCAGGTGTTTTCCCGCTGGTGATAGAGCAGAAGGATGGAAGGACAGTCCTTCACCAGGATGGCAGTGCCACACTGTCTGCAAACCCCTTTGTCAGCTAAGTGCCCCCCTCCAGCATCACCCTCGAGTTTTCAGCCACCCTTCTGCAGCCTCCGTGCAGCCCTCGGGGAAAGACTCACCTCAAGCAAGCTCCAAATCCTCACACAGAGTTTTCTCCTATCCAGAGGTGCACACAGAGGAGCAGGAGGAAGCCTGGCAGGTAAAGCCCCAGGCTCAGGATGGGGGGATGTGCTGGGAACTGGGGTTCCCCCAGCAGCAGTCCAGGGGATGGATGAGTGGACCAGCTGCTTCTGAGCTCAAACCCACACCCAAAACAACACTTCTCCCCCTGCATTGCAAAACCCAACACAAACAATGTGTACATTCTCTGTTATCAAAAGAGAAAATTGTTTTCTAGGTGATGGCTCTCCCTCCCTCCTTAAAACCAGGCAAGGATGTGGAAGGGAGCGGATGATCACCGGGTCTCGGCTGCCTCCTCTGCATCATCACATGCCACCTCTACACAACACTCCTGGAGAAACGCTAATTATAGCTCTACAGCTAAAAACTTTATTATACGCAGACATACATATGCCAGATTACCAGCGTGCCTTGAGAGAGCTCCCCAGGCTCAAACTGAGCCAGGTGGGTCAGGTTTAACTTGTTTTTTTTTTTTTTTCTTCATTCCCTCCCTCCCTCCTGCCCGGTTTTATTTCAACCCCTGCGTGAACTCGGTGAACACAAAAATAAAGAGGACAGAGCCAGGCACGGGGGTCCTGCACCACCAACCCTCCCCTTGGCAGCCACACTGCTTGGTCACAGCTAAACCCTGCCCCACAGCAGCCTGGCTAATCCAGCCCTCCCAGACCCATCCCCAGCATCCCACGCCATGTCGAGCCTCCGGGCCCCTCACTGCCCATCCCTACACCACGGAACCGCTCCCAGCCAAGCAGGACACCAGTTGCCAGCCCTCAAACCTCTCCCTTCCCAACGAGGGAGAGTTTCTTCTGGCTAGAAGATGCCGCTGCAGGAACGTCCAGGCCACTGAATAAGTCAGTAGTGCCATTCCTGTTTCCCATTCGCCCAAACACACTGGATCTTTGTGTGGCGGAGGCGGAAAAAATATTAATCTAATTAAACTCCCTCCCTAAAATTCCTCGTCACCTTAATTACGCTTCAGAAAAGAAGGCTTGGTTCATTTTCCTAGAAAATCAGCTTGTCAGGAGACGCTTTCAACTCCTAACAAGACCGATCTGTGCTTTGCAACGTGTCCTCGAACCCTCGCCAGAAGCTGCGGGGAGCGAGAGATCCCGAATTCCCACGGGGATGACTACGCTGCCCATCACGGTTATGGTCTCTTCCAACCTCTAAAAGCCATCAAACTTTATGGGGCTCCACTTCTGAGCTCTACACTCGAGCACGTCTTTTTACACCTGGAGAATAAACACCCGGCACCTTTGCTTTGCCACCGCCGGAGGATGACAAAGGACAGAGTCCCGAGATGCTGAGGATGTTCGGGAGTTGTGGAGTGGGTGTGGGGGGAAAAACACAGCTGAAAGGCTGAATTTGATCACAGGAGTCCTAACGAGAGAGGGCAGCAGGAGAGAGGTGCCTCTGTTTCTTGTCTGTGGCAGGGATTACTGACGGAAGGGCTGGATTTAAGTGCATCTCAATCACAAGATTGCGTTGCGCACAGGAAACTTTGAAGAGCCGTAGGAAAAGACCACTTGGCTGCCTGGCCATCAATGGCTCGGCTTATGAAAAAGCAGATTTCTTAAAAAAAAAATTGATTAAAAAAAAATCCAGGCTGAATAATCACTTCTTTGACACGCTGAGGAATCGCAGCTGGCGATACTACAAAAACAGGGCTGGGTTTGTTTTGCTTTTGCCAAGAAAAATAAATATATATATATATACAGAGAGAGAAATATAAGGAAGCGGCACGGTGAGGCGGGCAGGGAGCGGCGCTGGTAGCTCACATCCCCCCAGAGCATCCCCCCCGGAGCGGAGAGCGCTGCCAGCCCGTTTCCCCACGGAGCATCTCCCCCGGACTGGAGAACGCTGCCAGCACATACCCCCACGGAGCATCCCCCCCGGAGCGCAGGGCGTTGCCAGCCCCCCCCCCCCCGGGCCCCCCCCCCCCCCCCCCGGGGGGGGCGCGCCCCCCCCCCCCCCCCCCGCCAACCCCTCAACCTTTATCTTAAAGGAAAACCAAAACAAACACGAACTCAGCGTCACAAGGCTGAACACCACGACCGGCAGTGAACTTTTTTGGGGGGGTCGCTGCCCGCCCTACAGCCTCCCGCACAGCCCCTCCAAACTTGTGCCCCCCTTACCTGCGGCGGCCAGCGCCCGGCGGAGCAGCAGCGGGAGGAGGAGGAGGAGGAGGGTGATGCGGAGGGCGGGCGGCGGCATGGCGGCGGGACTGGGATCGGGATGGGATGGGATCGGGACGGGAGCGGAGCGCTGCCCGCCCGCCTCGCCACTGCCGGGCTGCCCGGCACGGGGGGCGGGGCCGGGGGCGGGGCCTGGGGGCGGGGCCTGGGGCCCTCCATCCCTGCGATGAGCTGCGACCGGGCTCAGCCGCCCTCCCTCCCTCCCTCCCTCCCTCGGCACCTCCGCCCGCCCCGTCCCGGGATACGGGGATGGAGCCAGGCCGGGAGAGCGGCTGCCGGGCCGGGGTGGGGAACCCGCGTTAACCCGCGGAGCGGCGGGTCCCGCTGTGCAGTGGGGCCGAGCGGGCACAAGGGGGAGCCCCGCAACGCGCTCGGCGCCGAGTCCCCCCCTCCCTCCCCCGCCGCGTCCTCCTCCCTCTGCAAAAATACTTTGCACGAGGGAAGCGGCGCGTCCTGCTGCGATGTGAGTGCCGTGGGGTGGCGGAATGGACGCTTATCATGGAATCATGGAATGCTTTGGGTTGGAAGGGACCTGAAGGTCCATCTCGTTCCACCCCCCTGCCATGGGCAGGGACAACTTCCACTAGACCTGGCGGCCTTGAACATTTCCAGGGATGTGGCATCCACAGCTACGCTGGGCAACCTGGGCCTGGGCCTCACCGTCCTCACAGGGAAGATTTTCTTCCCAAAATCTAAGCCAAACCTCCTCTCTAGCCGTGTGAGGGCATTCCTCCCTTGTTCTGTCCATACTCTTGTAAAAAAGTCTCTCTCCATCTTTCTTGTAAGCTCCCTTCAGGTACTTTTATACCCCCCCACTCCCAAGAGTGGGCATTAAAATCCAGGCTGCAGGATGCACCCACAGGAGCATAAAGATAACATATGCACACACACACAAATAATTAAAAATAAAATTCCTACACTGAGGGAGGTATCCTGCAACTGCTCCTCGATACGTGGCCTTTTGGTACTTAAAGGGGGCTTATAAAAAAGATGGAGGGTGACTTTTTACTGGGGCAGGTAGTGATAGGACAAGGGGGAATGGTTTTAAACTAAAAGAGGAGAGATTTAGCTTAGGTGTTAGGAGGAATTTCTTGCCTGTGAGGGTGATGAGGCCCTGGCAGAGGTTTCCCAGAGAAGCTGTGGCTGCCCCATCCCTGGAAGTGTTGAAGGCCGGGTTATACAGGGCTTGGAGCAATCTGGGATAGTGGAAGGTGTCCCTGCCTATGGCAGGGGATTGGATCTAAATGATCTAAGGTCTCTTCCAAGCCAAACCATGTCGTGCTTCCATGATATCCATACATCTCCGTTCTTGTAAAGAATTGTAAACCTCGTTGGGGCTGCAGTTTTCCACCTGGCGAGTCCTTCCTCAAGATGGGTTTAAACCCAACCCTGGCCCCTTGCTCAGTGGAGGGGGGGAAAAGGACTCAGCAGGCCCTTTTTGTGGGAGAGAACCCCAAATTCAGCGAAGTCACACTACGCTAGAGCAGTGCTGCAGCGGCATCTGTGCAAGCAGGGCTGTGTAGTGCTGAGTGACAGCAAGATCCACTCTTTCCCACTAAGGAAGGGGCTGCCGTGGCTGCCTATAAATGGTTAAAATAGCATGGGAACTGCTAACTACTTTTAATTGCTGGCAGCTGCTCAGCTCCTCGGGGTAGGGCAGTGGGGGCGAAGGAGCCCTGGCAGGCAGGCGGTAATTACAGCCTGTGCTGCCGCCACCAGCCCGGTGGAACCGGGGCTGTGGGTTTGGCGCCAGGGCTCTCCAGGCTCCACGAGCTGCTCCAGACGCGGGTTTGCTCCCAGGGCTGAGCCTGGTCGTCGCCTTCGCAGGGGCAGCGTGAATCCCGACGGGATGGAGCAGCAGTGGAATTGGGGTGTTGCGTGCAAAGCATCACCCCAAAAATGAAAATCCACCTTTTGGGAACCTTTCAGAGCCATCACGAGCTTTTCTTGCTGCCCAGGTGCCACCTTCATCCTCAGCCAGTCCCATGGGTGCCCCAGCCAGACCCCAAAAAACAGGAGGAACTCGTGGCACATCGCTTGGGCCACCTGCACTTTGCGGCCATGCAGCTGCCTGGAGTGCCACCTCGAGCATCTCACACCCGGCTGCACTTAAGCCGGTGTTTAAAGAGCCGGTATTTACAGAGCACCGGGACGTGCCGGAAAAGGCTGAAGAGCGGGGGAAAAAAAAAAAAAATCTCATTTCCAATTGCTGTCGAGGGAGTGAAGCTGTAAGGGAAGCGCCCGGCTGGGCAGCAAGGGGGAGGGATGCACCTGATGCAAACTCAGCAGTGCTGGCGTTGGAGAGAGGCTGAGACTGACAGCTTTGGGAAAATAAACTGGAAAATAAAGGTATTTTCCAGCCAGAGTGGACATTTGGGGTACCTACTTTGGGAAGGAGAGTGTGCCTTTTGTGCCTTTTTTCTGTAGAAATGAGGGAGGGCAAGTGGGTTAAACCGAGTGGTGTTGTCATTGCCTGGTATTCAAAATATGAATTAAAGCAATGCAAATTAAGGGCTCACTTATCCCTATTGCACAATTTGAGAAAAATATGACACGACAAACTATCATTAAGGCAAAGGGCCGTTTTTCCTCCCAGGTGTTTACATATTACCCCTCGTTTTCCCACTAATGGCCTGGCATGAACGCGTCAATCAAATTCCCAGCATAGAGGGAATCAGCTCCCAGCAGCTGATCCAAGGTGTGAGGAGCTGCACCGGGCTCAGCTGCCCTGGCAGGGCCATCAGCCCCAGAGGGACAGGGCTGGATGAAGCTGTTGGCATGTGGGAAAGGGTGGGTTGGCATTCTGCAGCAGGCACAGGGAGGGACTGCTCCCACTCAGGGATGCAACAGGACCGGCAGCCCAAATCCCACCGGTGGGTGACACACGTGACACCTGAGCAGGGACCCTCTGACCTCTCTGGGTTGGATATTCAGGTCTCTGGCATAACCAGGAAGGGGGGTGGATGCATTAAAGCGTTAAAAACTATGGCAATCAGATGAATAATAAACAGAGGAAACTCCCAGAGCATAATCAGGAGGTGAGACAAAGACTCGCTTGTTTGGGATTTGAGGTCATGGCGCCCTTCAGCTCTGACCACACCGCCACGGGAGGGGTGGGTTTCTCTTCCCACCCAAACTTTAGAGGCAGAGAAAGCCTTAGGTGGGCTGAAACATCCCTTATTAGTTCCTTTTCCTTTCAGACCTTGCTCCTCACTAAACACCTCAGTGATCTGGGATGAAGCTGGGCTCGGCGGCACCGAGATATCAAGACATCTTTATGGTACAAAAAAATTTCTATTAAGGGCAAAAAGATGATTTCTATCTATTTTTTTTAAAAGAGCATTCTCTTTTAAGCCCCCAGATGTTATTTGCAGCTGTGGTTGGCCAGAAGGGCCGCAGGTTGCTAACCAGGGGGCTAGCCAGAGGTGCTTATCTATTTGGGGGTTCAGAGGCCTTCAAGGCAATTTGCATAATATTATCCACAGCTGTGCTATCAGGACAACCAATCCCACCAACCTACTTAGGCATTAGGAAGAAGAGAGCGTCTGAAGACCTGCACATGGGAGAAAAAGAGGGGATATAGAGCAAAGCTACAGATAATGTGGGGTCAAGGCACTGGGAAGGGCTTCCCCAGCATGGAAAAGCCTTAGACAGTTTTGTTTTCCCTGGGATGCTGCAGCCGATGCCCTGGCTTCTCCTCCTCACTGGCTCACCCTACCACATCTCCTTTCACTCCACAAATAGCTGCCTCCCTCCTCTGGGAATCCAGCTGGGCTGAAATGCCCCTGCTTTTTGTAAAGAGGGAGTTTTATAGGGAGCTTGTTGTTACTGAGAGAGCCCTGGCACAAAGTAAACACTGGGTTAGCAGTGATTCATTTTATCTTTTCCCCTACTACTGGCAGTTTTCTCACCTGGGAGCTTTGGGAGCACTGAAGGAGGCTGTGGAAATCCCTGCTGACAGACTTGCTGCAAGGATGCTGTCACTGCCACCAAAAAGTCCTGGATGGGGAAAGGACAGGGGATTTGTTCCTCTCCATAATACAGGGAGAGTCAGGGCAGAAAAAGGGTTGGAGGAGGAGAGGGCAGGTGTTCCTGCAAAACAGGTGGGCCAGGGTCTTTTGCTGGGTAGGTTGTTGCTGGTGGCACCAGGATGGAGTCAGAGTGTCCTCTTGGTTCACCATGGGCCAGCTTCCCTGGGCAGGTAGTGACAGGACAAGGGGGAACTGTTTGAAACTAAAGGAGAGGAGAGATTTAGATCAGAAATTCTTTCCTGTGAGGGTGGTGAGGCCCCGGCACAGGTTTCCCAGACAAGCTGTGGATGCCCCATCCCTGCAAGTGTTCAAGGCCGGGTTGTACAGGGCTCTGAGCAACCTGGGATAGTGGAAGGTGTCCCTGCCCAGAGAATGAGATGATCTTTAAGGTCCCTTTGAACCCAAACCATTCCATGTTTCTATGATTCCCTGTAATTTTCTCCCATGCTTTCTGAGGGAGAAACACCTGGCACACTCCCTTCCTCCCCCCACTCCATGGGCTCTCTCATCCCACACTGGGGTCCTCAGGTTACCCCTTTAACTTGGAGCAGGGAGGTGAAGGCAAGGGGCTGTCCTGTCCCTCACCTCCAAACAGGGATGCTGTGCACTGCACATTCCACAGTCGAGCTGGCAGGGGCTCCTGAGGGAGCTGAGCAAGGCGCAGGAGAAGATGCAGCATCTTCACGGAAGCGGAGGATGGAGAAGGCCCCCTTGACTAGCAGGACATTACGCATATCCAGGGAGACATTGCTGTCAGGGAGATAACTAGAGAGGGCAGAATACCCCAAGATGAAGACCAAGACCATGAAATACCATTTACATATCCTCCAACCGATGGGATACCTGGTGTGCAGGCCCTGCACCAGACATGGGGAACAAGACGGGATCTCTGAGTCCTGGTTGCCTCCCAAGCCAAATTCATGGGTGAGAGATGGAGAAGAGAGGCAGGATCTCTGTGGAGGCACTGGGGAGGGAGGGGGTGTTTGTGGTTCAGTGGC